AAAAAACCATCAAATCATATAGCTTCTCGGGATGGCGAATCTTTGTTTACAAATGTTCCCATGTGCTTATCATTCATGATTCCCTTAAAAATACCAAAAGCACATCACAAATCTTTTCTCCAAACCTGCACCACTGAAGCACTTTTCCACGCCCCCACAGGCTAGCTATACATGCTCACCACTCAGTGTCCTTTTCGCAAATTTTTTCAGGACTTCTTGCAAGCAAAACGTTTAGGGACAATCTGGAATTAAAAAAAAAACTTATGCCAGATATGTTGACGATATCTTTTCGCATATGACGATCTGGAACCAGTCAACCAACTAGCAACCCTGAACCGATCATAATTGAATTTCACTATGGAGCATTTCTGTTCTGGAAGATGGACGCATGACGAACAAAGGGGTACAACTGCCGCATACGACAAAGCAACAAATAAAAGTATTTGATTAATTAAGTGGGCTAAGCGAATGCACGGAAATATTCAAAATAAGTACAGTAAAATGCTTTGTGAACCGTGCATTCACTCATTAATATATAAACAAGTTAGAACGTAATCCTGGTAACAATATTCTGAAACTTAGACCACGATCTGACATTTGAGAGCCTTGTGAGTATTGATTGCATGATTCACAACTTATTAATTAATCACATTTAAATGACTCGAACTAACATTGTATCCACACAAAAATTTAAATTATCGGACAGTTTCATATTAGAACCGCATCCAATCGTCACGTTGCCTCTTTCTTTCAAAAAAAAGCTTGCATCATTGCGTAAAATAACGATAGCTTCTTTGGTGTTTCGAACGAATAAAGTGGAGCAGCTCAACCTTGTTTCTTTTTTTGTATCAAAATTATCAAACTAAATTATTGAATTATTTTATTTATTCATTATTACGTGTTTGTGTTATCAATCAATTGACTGATTTTAGTTTCATAGGCTTCATAAGTAGCAAGGTTGTAATGTAAGGAAAGAAGTTGCTGCTTATAATTTAAAATATTTTTTCTTTTGATTGGCTGTTGTGTAATTCAGACATGCATGCAAACGACTTGCCAACATTTTATTGAAATTGCATAAATGGACTGAGAACCATTTATAAAACAAATAAACAGATATCCAAATTCTAATTCCTCCAGTTTTAATAATAACAATAACGCCATGATGTAAATACAAATTTTTAATATTGTAATTCCCTAACCGTAGTAATCATATGAATGTATGCGTGCATGTTTTTTTATCAACATTCCACAGCGGTGAAATACATACAATAGTGAGAGTTTGTAACAACAATTTCATCATATGTATGATGACAGGATGAAATCGATCAAACAAACCATGCTGCAATACCTCGTTCTTGTCAGTTGTCAGCGACGACATTTCACATTTCAAGGACACCTGCTCCAACATTCCGATGCTTCGCAAACATCTACCAATAACTTTCACGTTCTGCAGACACATGTGATTTATCATTTTTTAGAAAGCAAAAAACTTTTGTTCCATCAATATTTAGCCCCAACATTTTTTGTTGTTGCTTGACTGATGCCTACCACGACACTGTAGTTTTTAACACCTCGTCAGTCACATGTCTGTAATAATGTTTTAAAATACAAGACAAAGTTCATACTTTTAGTGCGAGTGCATAAGCGAGCAGAAGGAATGTTTAATTGAAATATATATCGACTGCACTGAGCTGTTAGCAGAAAGTTTTGTAGATGAAAAGTTTGTTTACTTGAGTAAATTATTTCAAATAAAATATTTTTATTGGTTTATTTATTAATTTTATTCCAATCAAATACTAAATGCCCGAGTCGTTCCGGTCAGTGGCCGGTTCAGGTTCCAGTGTTGTCGCACTGGCTTAAAATTTTTTAAATGTTTATATGCAACAGATTTTTAAAAATATGCCAAACATAAATTAAAAATTCAATATTTTTTTTCCTTTCTCGCGCCTTATCCTTTCAGGACATTGGCGACCATCGACCTTCACAAAACCCAATCTTTAACAGTTTGTAAGAGTTGAAATGTGGCAAAACCACACATCTCAGCAGCGTTAATCTTTTTTTCCATTTCTTTAGAAATTGTCCAGGACTCAGAGCCGTAAGTTAGCACAGGAAAAATGTACCATCCTAACAGTTTTAATTTTGTTGATATTCTGGTTTTACAGTTGATGAGGATGTTTTTTTTATTTTAGAATATGCATCTTATGCTTTAGCTATTCTTTTTTTGATATCCATATCACATTTACAACCTTAGGTATTCAGAAATTATGCCGCTGTTATAAATCTCATTCAAAATTTCTGTCATTTTTTCAATGCCAAACTCATCAAGGCATTTAGTTTCTTCAAAAACTATCTCATCTGGACCTGGCGCTTTATTTGATTTCATTTTGGAAAGAGCGGCACGAACTTCAGATCTAAGCATCTTTGGTCCTTCGACGTCTTTTTTAATAGAAGGTTTTTTTACCACGGATATCATCAAAAAGATCGTTAATGTATTTAGTCCATCTTTCAAATACTTTTTTTTTCTCTAGGATTACTTCAACAAATTTAGCTTTTATGCATCCAGAAACTGTACGAGCGTTTTTTTCAGTGATTTCTTTGATGTTTTTATACATTGCATTTTTATTATTGTTTTTGATCTTTTCAATGATTTTGCACTTGTCATTTCACCATTTCTTCTTTGCCTCTAAGCACATTTTTTTGATTGCTTTGTCCATCTTTTTGTAACTATCAGGATTGCAACTTTTAACTTTTCTTCGTTCATCCATCAAAGATACGATGTCATCTGTTATTCCTTTCTGACCTATTTTTTGCTTCTTCACAGGTATTACTTCCCTTGCTGATTCTGTGAGGGCATCTCCAAATATTTCATTTTCAGATTTATTAACGTCTTTCGTCAATTACTGAAATCGATTCCATACTTCAAAGTTATACTTGACCTTGATCTCATCATTTTGTGACAGACTGACAAAACCCAGTTCAAAATTACGTTTTGAGGCCACATCTCTCTTGATTTTTTTTATTTTTATCCTGATTATACAAACAGCTGGGTTATGATCACTCTAACAATCAGCTCCAGGGTAACTTTTGCATTGTAAAACAGCATTTCGAAATCAATGTAATCAACCGTATTTTTTACCTAGTCTCCGGGACTCTTTTAAGTATATTTTCTCCTTGGGCAATTGTCAAAGAAGATGTTGGTAATAATTTGATCATTTGTGACACACCATTTAATCAACGTTTCTCCTCTTTCATTTCTTTCACCTATCCCATGAGGACCATCTACGTCATGTATTTTTTCTGAGTCAACTTTTGCATTCAAGTCATAATAACCACTTTTTGAGCATCATCAAGATCACTGTAAAAAGCATCAAGGTCTTCTTCACTGCTTTCAGACGTTAGCGCATAAATTTGAATAGACGTTAGGTTGAAAGGTTTTGCATGTATTTTGACTAACAAAACTCCGCCAAGAAACACCGCCAAGAAACACGGTCAAGAAACCCTCTAAACTTTTAGACATTTCTTTGTTCAATAGTATCTACACCTACTCCTCGTTCTTCTGAATCCTCTCCAGAGTACATAAATTTACCTTCTTCAAAGGTAATGACACCGGATTTCTTCCACCGAGTTTCGCTCAAACCTAGAATACTGAGCTTCATTCTTTTAATTTCTTGTTTTACATTTTCAAATTTTCCAGTTTGGTACAGCGTTCTAACGTTCCATGTTGCCGCAGTAAAGGGTGTATTCAACTTGTTACTATCATGTTTTTTGATTTGGTATGTGTTTGTCGATGGTTTTCTTGGCAAAAGTTTTGGACGGTAGGTTGCCATTACTTATTGTCAACTTTTCTACTTCTATATGAGATGGGTTATGACCGATAAAATTATATATGATAAATAAATGAGTCAAACAAATAAATAAAAATGAATAAATCAATATAAAATATTTGAAGTTAATGTATAATGTATAATAATTAAAAATAATCCAGAAATAATAATGCATTAAAATCAAAAACAGTAATTATATGAGAATATAAGCCAATATAATAAAATTACCACGATTGAACATACATGGATATTTAAGCAAATATTACTATTGAACAATTAAAAAATAATTAAACACTAATGTAATGCAATATACATACAATTTAAACTATGAAAATGAAAATACATAAAATAAAATTAATAATAATGTTTTTTAATAACTTCCTAATTTTAATATTTAAGAATTAAAAGATTTTGTTATTAAACAGAATAAAAGAAAATAAAATAAATGAATTGTAATAATAAATCAGTATTAAAACAACATTAAAGAAACAAAATTCAAAATTCAAAATTAAATACGAATATTTTTAAAATAAAAAACCGTTAAAACGATACAATACGGAACATAAATTATATAAAAATAAATAAAAAATATATAAGAATATTTATAGAGTAAATTATGAGATATTAATTTAAATTTAAAATAAAGTTATTTTATAATAAATAAACTTCTCCGAAGATGTCTAAAATGGCGAAATTTAACAAAACAACTTCAAATCAAAACAGCCAAAGATGGTCGCTAAGGACCAATAAATTCAATATATCACCGGTCTTATGCTATTCAAATTAAGAGATTGTAACATGCCGTTAAAACTCAACAACAACAAAAACAACAACAATAACAGCACAACTACAACAAAAACAACAAAATTAAGAGGTTGATAGTACCTTATTTATTGTTTCTAGCGTTAATTAAGTTTTTATAGCATGCAATACAATACACAGCTTTTAGTTTCATCAAGCTAAAATCTACAATTAGTGCCTTTAATCGTTGGTATGATGCCTGTGTTGGTCGTTAATGACCAGTTCTGAATCTAAACAGAAAGGACAAAAATCCCAACATATTATGCATGTGTGGACCAATGCCAAAAAACATGAGAATCCATTGAACACAAAACGTTAAACCATAAAAAAGCTTGCAAGCAGAACGAGAAAACAGAACTAAAAAAACATTAAAGAACAAAACAAGTCAGAAGAAGAGAAAAGATTAACATCGAACAACCAACCACGCTGATGTACCTCGTATCGTTTGTGCACGTAAACTTGCACATGTGGCTGGGAATTGTGGGAAGATATAAATTATTATGCTCAAAACAAATTTGTGCAAGTATTGCTCAAATTATGCGTGGTACTACCGTTTCGAATATTTTCAAAAATGAACTCGAGTATAAATTTAGTTAAATAAAGATTAACATTAACAAACGTCTTGCACAATGTTGCATATAAACGCCACGGATAAAGGCAAATCAATTGTTAGTACAATCATAAAAAGACGTTATTTAAAACACATACGCGCGCATGATATGACTGTAATATGCGCCTGTCAGATCAACAGCTAAATATTAAACAATTCTCAAATGAAAATTGTTAACAAACGTTATGATGTTTCAACAATTTGAATAGGCCAAACATTTTTCAACAGTTTTTAAATACATTTCGAGATTTTACAAAAATATACATATTTATATAAAAATGACACAATAGTAACATTAAAAACGGTAGGCAATACTGTAAACCATAATTTCTCTTTGGCAAGCGCTTATTATAACCGATGTCAGGCTGGCAGGTCAGAAATTCTTACCCTATAATTATAAAAATTTATAAATATATAGATATAATGTTTATAAATATTTGTTTTTTATTCATTAAATGCGTGAGATGTTTGCGGTTTTTATTTGCCCTCTCAAAAGTATTCACATTTCAGTTTTTTAATAATAAAAAAATCGTACATGATCTAATAAATATATATAAGATCTTTGTTGTAATGTGCATAAGAAGAATCTAAGAAACTTCACACTCAGGGATATTCACTACAGAAATAACTTCAATATTGATAAAAAAATTTACCAATGAAATTTTGCACTCAGTTAATATTGTCAAAGCTAAATTAAATAACATTGTTACTACTGTAGAAATTTATATTGCAACATTAAATGTGAATCGATATAAAACGATTAATATTCATTATCGTAAATGCATATTGTTGAAAAAATATAAATCATTCATGCATGACATTTTGCTGCTGCTACTACCTTTTTGCGTTGTGTTTGTTGGCATTGAAATAAACGTTTATATAAGTCTGTATTTGAAGCAATTGTGTTTATCTATAAGACACCAATGAACCTAACGGAAAATTGAATATCTTGACGATCGTGCAAGTAGCAACACTATCAACCACATTTTATTAAGGTGCAGCATATTTATTCGTTCAGCCACACACCAGTTGCCTGTTCACTTCAGTTCCAAAACACCATCTGTTCATTTCAAATACGTAACAACAGCGTTAGTTGCACTTTTTCTCTATGAAATTATGTTCGTTAGCACGTGCAGTTGCTCAACTCCTTGCAGACCAAACAAGCATTAATTCGCTCTCGTGCACTTGTTATTCAATTTGGCCCGTCTCTTTCAACATTTACGAGTTGATGCGTTTGCTTCTTGTAATATTCATGTCGTCGTCTAATTTGCTGATTATGTTGTTGTGATTGATAGTACTGATGATTGTTGGTGATGATTATGTTTCCGATGATGGTTATCATGTTGTCTGTTGATGGTGGTGATGATGACGACGACGTTAATATTGCAGTTGGGATGATGATTGAGATGCAGATGATTGGGGTTTTTTATGTAGTGTGATGTCAGATAATGATAATTGTACTAACTTGGTGATTATGTAAATGTAAATTGTAAAGGAACAGCAATACTTAATTTTTTGAGGAAAAAAAAATTCTGTCGTTAATGATGATGATGTTAGTTGACAATGATTCATGTGGCTACTTTAGTGAGAATGGTGCTAGGAGAATAGTGATTATATTGTAAAACTTCGGAGGCGCTAGCTTTGCTCAAGATTGTTCAACAAATAAGGCGTTAGAAGCTTCTTGTAAATTTGTCGATCCATTTTGCAAAATTATTTATAAAAGGTAAAGCGTTCCAGATTTGTGCCGAAGATACCAAAAATCTCTTTTCCAGAGTGGGAAAACTGAATCTATATTTATTGAAGCGGGAATCAACCATTTATTTAGTAGATTAATTAATTGATTGATTTGTTATTGGACATAAGCTACTATAATCAATCAATCAATCAGTCAGTCAACCAACCAACCAACCAAACAACCAACCAACCAATCAATCAATTAATCAATCAATCGTTCACAGTCAGTCAGTCAATCAATCAATCAATTACTTTATAAAGCGCTATTTCCGCAATGTTCAACATCGCTCCTTAATGAATTTTGCAACATATGGATCTTGAGATCAGCTCTGAACTTTGTAATTGATAGAAAAAGAAGGGAACTAACTTGTTCAGAAAGAAAAAAACAAAAACCACCCAAATTACAAAACCACCGAGAAAACTTGCCGCCATCACGCTAAACGTAAATATAAGATTGTTCCCATTATTTTTTTTCTATTACGCAGCTTAGAGCTGCTTACAACCTGTTTGCTACTTATAATTAACTTTTGTATTTCAAAAAAAGGCATCAGACCACACATACATACATTTTTTGTATGTACGCGCAAGCACCATTTCACACACGCACATGGTTGATTTAGTTTTGCGCAGTCAATATTTGAATTTAGAACTAAAACATGAAATAGGGAATTTGTATCGTCTGAGCTAACTTGCCAACCAAATTAGTTTCATCAATTGATTGAACTAATCTTCTACGTGCCAGTGTCTACTAAAATCTTATAAAATTACGCATGACATACAAAGGAAATATGCAAACACACAAAAATATTAACGAGCAAGCAATAAAAAACACATGGACACACAAACAAACAAACTAACAAGCAAACACACAAACGAATAAATATCTTTGCTTTGAAGAGCGTCCACTCTAATTATTCATCAAATGCGTGCTACTATACGTTCAACCTGTCCCTACCAACTGTTTCGACAAGGTTTAAAATTATTATCATTAATAATTTTTACCGATATCTTGCTTTTAAATTTGCCTATTTTCGTAAACACAGACACAGGATCTGCTACCTTTTCGAGACATTGCCAAAGTGCAAAAAGAAACACGCACATGTGATCACACACAAATGCACAGGCATTGACGTAAACTTAGAAAAACATACAATATATTCACGCATATCACACATATTAATGACACAAGTACCAAGTACATTTTCACACACAAACACGAGCACACATAATCGAAAACCATAAATGTCGAGACGTAACATATAGACATGAAACCTTTAAACGCTCATGCTGCTTAGTTGGCCTTTGTGCTGCGCACATAAAAGTCTTGTTATGCTGTGCAGTTATATAATTTTGTTTTTTATTTTATTTAAACAAAACTAGAAAGTTGTTTTAACAATTCATTTTTTTATTAATAAAAAATTTATGAAATAAAAATATAAAATGAAAATATTTTTTGCTACATTTCAACTTTATTTAATTTATATTTTTAATAAATTTATTTTTAACATTTCAACTGTCATTAATATTTTTTAACAAATTTGTACAGATGCAGTTGAAAAAAAGTTCACAGATCATCCGTTTTTCGTTGTTATGGTTACAAAAACTGAACATATCTTCAACCAACAGAATGTCATTTTGTGTATAATTATTTACAAGTGTTGTAAAAAGTCTTGGTTGATAGTAGGAGTTTTTGAAAAGTTTCATAGCTGTTTCAAATTGTTTCATAGATATACAAATAAATACAATATAAAATTATTTAAACAGAAAAAAATTAACAATTAACGATAAAAAATTTCAATAAATGAACAAAGATTAAAACTCAAGAAGATTTTAAAACAACGTGCAACACTAATAAACAAAAATACGTTAAAGCAAAGGTCAATCATTTAACATTTAACAGGGCCTACTATTCTCTAGTTAGGATGTGCGCGTGTTAATCGCTTGGTCTGACTCGATGTGTCTTAAACTTAATCCTTCTAAATTTGAATTAATTTGTTTTAATAAATCTAAACTAAACACTCTATTACTATTCCTCCTATTATCTTACCTGACTCTAAAACTCTTGATGTTTCTCAAAAGTTTCGTAGTCTAGGCTTTATCTTTGATTCTAGTATGTCTCTTTCATCTTAGATTAATAGTATTGCTAGAAGTTCTTACTTTCATCTATGTAGAATAAAAAACTTTTGCTTTTTCTTGATGATCTTATTTTTCTCCTTGTTAGTTCCTTAGTCTTATTTAGGATTAATTATTGTAACTCGCTCTACTATGGTCTTCCTGATCCTACACTCTATCTTTTAGGTAAAGCTTTGAACTCTGCTGTTCGTCTAGTTGCTCGTGCCCCTTTCTTTTCTCATATATCTCCATATCTTGTTCTCTTGCACTGGCTACTTATAAAATATAGAATAATTTTTAAAATTTGCAAATTTATGTATAAGTCTCAATCTAAATTATTTCTTAAGTACTTATCAAATATATGAATTGAACCTAAACACCCTGGTTTACGATCGTCTTCTTGTTCTCAATGTCACTACGCGCAATTTTTGTGCTATAATGGCCAGCCGTCGTTTATGACGTTTATTAATCTAAGATGACGTTGTTTATTATCTAGCAGTGTGCGGACGTTCCATGCTGCGAGTTTTGACACACTTCTTTTCTGTGTTATTGCAGAGATGTTTTGGTTGCAATTTAGATATCCAGTTAGTCGCGTCAGCGTACTAACAAAATGGGTTTAAAGAACTTTGTTTAACGCATTTTTATAGTATTTTTTATCTCTTTTTATTTGGAAAAAGCTGTACTGTTTTTGAATATGGCAGCTTTTTCGTCCAAATAAGATACTGACAGACAATAACCTGGTCTTGGGTAGGCAGTGAACGACCACCACACTCAGACTGCCTTCGTGCTGGCTTGTGTCTAAACATAAACAGATTTCTTATTATCAAAAACAGACTGCAATAAAATCCTTATCTACAAGAACAGTTTTTCAAAGAGCAATAACAATTTTATAAAACATTTCTGAACTAAATATATTTGTTTAAGTAAAGTAAGCTTTGGGAATATTTACCTAAATAATCTTACAATAATTTTAATGCAAGTAGATGAACGTTTGGTTTAGTTGTATTAATGTGGAATAATTAAGAACATCTTATAATTTAGAACATGCCAGCATATCAAGATTTTTTAAAAACAACTGAGTGAGTCAATATGATATGATAATTAATCCAAAAAACTTAGCCAAAATTTGCCCTTTTATGTGCAAATTTAGTGGACCAAAGACATTGGACGGCCGAAATGAACTATACACATTTTTTAATATTAATCACAAGTTTGTTGTTTGGAAACCAGTTGCAAATTGAGTTTGATTCGCCAATAATTATCATAATTCCTAGTCATCGTTGAATTTTTTGAATGAGTAGATATGATAAGTATCATCGGCATGTAAATTATCTTAAAGATTGACGGAAATGTACATAAGCCGTTGATAAATATAAACAACAGACCTTAAATGGAACCCTTTTGGGAACCAGTAACATTTCTAAGTTATGTGTGTGTACAATGTAATATCAATATATGTCCGTGAAATTTTCATTCGATGCCTTACCAACGTCGGATGCCTTAAGTTAAGTTATTACAATTTAAAGAATTAATGATTGTAGATGTTTTTTATTGTTCAAAATACCGTTATGTTCCAATTTGCCTTCACATCATTTTTTCAAGCATATTTTGATGAAATGTTTTTTGAAAAATACGTTTTCAGATGTACTTTATTTCATTAGAATGCCATCTGTTTGGTTTATAAATATTAAGTTTTGACACAAACACACACATAAACACATACACATACCACACTCGCACGCGAGCACATACACTAACACTCATACACGTGTGTCTATCTGTCTGTGTCCGTTTCTCTGTACGACATTTTTGAAACAGGTATATGAAAAAAATGATATAGAATTTAAAAGGCTAAAAGTTTTTTAGTTTAAATTAGAAAAAATTGCTAAAAATGAAGCATGTTGGTTTGACAAGAGTTCCGAACCATGTTTAAATTGTACATTTGAAAATATTTTGATGAATGGCAATGACTAAGTAAAAATGAATGCTAATAAAAAAAGGTTTATGCCAAAATGTTTTATTATGTAAACATTATTATTTGAGTTTAACAATTCGATCGATTTTTTCAACTGCTTAAAAATCACTTTTACAAAATGTTAAATAAAGACAATGGAATTAATTAACGATAAAAAATATAATCCGTGCTGTCAATGATACAAGTTTCTATAAAAACTAATATCTATATTTGCTAATGATATAAAAAAGTTAAACCGTAAGAATCATTTTATTATTTAAGAATCATGTAAGAATCAAGAAAAAAGAAAGTATTTATAATCCGAAAAATGTTATACATCAAGTGTGAAAAAATGCTGAATACTAATGAAAAAAAATTATCGGTAAGTGTTCATTTGTAAATTCTTGTAAATTTACTGAGTTAGATTGAAAAACTGTAATGACAAGTGATAATGTTTATAAATAAAATATGTCAATAGATCACATTTTTTTCATCGTATAAAAATATTTTAAATCACAAACTATGTGCTGAAAAACTAGCATCAACGTCGTTTAACTTGAAATTTTGTAATGAAAAAAGCAACTAATTTAAGATTATTAAGAAAAAAACATCATCCGAATGAACCAATTGTTAAATTGCAAACAAAATTAATATTAAAATGATTAAATTCTACAAATCTTTTAGGATTACGTACGTCGCCAATCCAATTTGAAAATGCGAACAAAAGTTTTTTTGAACTGCTGATTGGCAAAAGCGTAACAAAAAGGGTTTATAGGACTGTTCGTGTAACAAACCCAGTAAGATATGGAGTAGAGGTATTTATTGATGCACGCTGGACAGAAGCCCATTATTAGAGCTAAAACATGCCAAGGAGTCCAACATAATATGAAAGCGCCTAGAATTATTGTTATAGTTCTAAGAGCCTTGAAAGCTCGGTCTTCTCGTCTGCTTGGTTGTTTATTCGTTGGCGAAAGAATTTTTTCAAAGTTTCCTCGAGTATGTTGAAGATTTCTATTGATGTCATTAACTTTTGAAGTCACCTCTTTATCGTGAAAGCCTTCTCCCAACGATGACTTTTTAATAAAGTTGGAATGTATTGCATCATCCTTGGTAACATTCTTTGTTTCATTTCGACTAAAATCACTTTCATATTCATCATCTTTCTGATTATTTTCATCAAGAGAATTATTATTTGCACCTTGATAGAAAAAGTGTTTCGAGTTTATTTTGTCAAAATTGCATATCTGATATACTGGCTTTGAATTATCATACGGAATTGACGAATTCTTGTTATCATCATGCAACAAATCACAATCAGATTCGTCTTCTGTTGTGACAGAAATTTGTCTGCTTACTTTTTCGTATGATCGTTGATCTAAATTTTCAACACGGTTGCAAAAGATGTTTTTAACTGGGCGTTCGTGTTTTTTACTTGACTGATTTTTTAAATGAGTGTGTTCATTGATGTTGTTAGCAACACCATACGAAATGCATTCAGACTTGGTTGGCGGGGTTGTGCACAATGCACTCAAGTTGGTTTCCGCTGTGTCACTTTTCACGAATTCGCCGTGGCCAGGCGAAGTAGTTCCTAGCGGACGAGCCAGTTTGTTTGACTTGCTCCATCTACGTTGTTTCAGTCGATACTGCGTACCATTGCGAGTAGACATCTTTTCAAAATTTAAACTTGGAAAATGGGGTTTGGGAGAGTTAATTTTATTTTCGGCATTTGATTCATCTATTTTAATAATTAAACTATTTGAGTTATTTGATGTTTGGCCGCAGAAATACTTTGTAACATTCAGACATTCGTGTTCAAAACAATCTAATCGAGCCATTTCTGATTTGACATTTGATAATTCTTGACTTTCAATTTTATCTTTTGTGTTTGATTGTTTTAAAACGTCAGCTTTCACAGTTTTATTTTTGTTGGTATCATATACATCACTATTTTTTAACAATGGTTGAATTTGAGATTTAGTTCGAGATACAGTAGCAACCAAATTTGCTATTTTTTTGCGTTTCTCTTCAGATTTTTTTTGTAAACCTAATACAACCATATATATTCCTACATATAATCCAATCATAATGACAATAGTTACCCAGAAATAGCCAATTTGTAAGAGCGAATTAAAAACAGCATTTTTCAAGTACTGTACTTCACATTCACCCTCCTTCAGATCTCGCTTTCCAGTAAAATACTGCCAACCAAATATTGAAGTGAAAAACACCACCACAGGAAAAGTCCAAATTACAATAATTATTATCAAAACTTTTCTTCCTGTTCTCCATGCTCTGTATTTTGCGGGAATTTTCACGGAGCAAAATCTATCGACTGTAATACAAAACACCGTGTATATAGAACACAAACACGCACTATAATCTATGGAAAGCCAAAGATCGCAGAGAAATTCTCCGATCAACCATCGTTGACCAGCCAGAAGATATGCCGCATAAAACGGGATCGATACGGCTCCAATGAGGAGATCGGACACTGCCAACGAAGCGATGAAGTAGTTGGGCGGTTGTCTGATGCTTCTTTCTAGCAAGAAACTCATCAGAACAACAACATTGCCTGCGATGGTGACGATACTCATGATGCCAGCAATCGTTGCAAGTATTACTGTAAGGGCTAATCCGTAATAAGGAATATTTGTCGACGGTTTTGTGGTGGTGAGGTTAAAACTCTCATTATTATCGGAGTTCATCGAATCAAAGAAATGCGAATCTGTGACAGCGATGCTAACGCTCACAATCGATGTACCAACATGCATTAATAACTTTTTAATATTAATTAGTCTACAACATTTTATTGACTAACTTTCAATTATTAAAAAGTTTAATGATTACAATAAATTATTATGAGTAGTTGTAACGAGGATAGATTTTTTGCGAAGCCGTACAAAAATATTAAAATAAAATTATTAAAAATTTAGCTTGGATTAAAACTTCAAGTAAAACTTATCAATAATTATCAAAAATAATTAAAAAAAACTAAAGTAGCGAAGCATCTCGTTGTGAACTGATCAGCATTTCGTTTGGTCAATGGAATTTTTTTTATAACACAAGCCTCCACAATATACGTACAGTTACATAAGCTATCAAATATATAACATTCACTTATTTGATATGCGTGCATATGTGCTTGTGAACGAGATTGTATAAATTTATATTTGTAAATTTTTTCTTAGCAATAATTTATATTAATTAAATATTTGCTCATGAGATGTAAAGAATTATTACAGGGAACCGCATCAGTTTCTGAATAAATAAGCAAGCTCGGTTATTCTTCATTAGATGCATTGTTTCTATATGACTAAAATGTATTTGCATCTAAATAAATTATTAGACTCAAACGATCTGATGATTTTTTAATCGTTTGTAAAACGCAATAGCAATGAAAAAAGAATTTTTAATAATTCTACAAGTAAAATCATCAAGAAAATTAATAAAAGCCGAAACAAAAATCATTTTAATAAGCATTTGTTAAGCTATAAAATATAATTGAATGATCCAGACCGTAACACTAAACAAAAATACAAAGCTCTCTTTTTCATGGTCAAACCAAATTATTTTTATTAACAGGAATTCATATTCTTAAGTCTCCTTTATTCATTGAAACCCGAATAAAACGGATCTGTAATAGGCTAATGCTCAGTTATGTCTGTTTCAGCTGGCCCTTCAAGAAGACGTGGTACCTGATATCGCGTTGTGGTGAGGCGGGGATCGATTCCGGGGGCATTTTATAAAATACTAATATCTAATGTAGATTTCTAATGTTTTCATCTCATAACCCTGCTGCTCTCAAGCCAATATCTAATGTAGGTTTCTACTATTTTCATCTCATAACCCTTCTGCTCTCTAGCTTTCTTTCTTTGGTTTTAATTAATAAATTTGTGATTAAATATTTTTACAGTTTAATTCTAACATTTTAATATATATAATTCCTTCATTTACCTTTTGTTATTGTTTTTTAAATTTTTACTTTTCAACTTTGATTTGTTTGTGATGAATTTTTTGTTTGTTTGTTTGTTTGTTGATTTCATATGATGTTTGTTTCAATGCTGAGGGCACTTAATAGGGTCACTAAAATAACATTTGTTTGCTTTGTGGAAAGCATTATTCAAAATGCTTTTTAAAAAAATAAGTTTACAAACTCTTTGTGCTATTGTCTTAATTCCTTTTTTTAAACTGTTTTGTAATTTCATTATTCATACACATACGTCAAAATTTTTAGTTCCATGAAACTGTAAGCTCATTTTTTAGTAATAACCCAGTTTCAAATTTTAAAAATTATCAATTTATTGAATTGTATCATCGTTTACATTTTTGGAGAATAAAACAAAATTGTTTTAAATGCAAGGGAAATGTTTTGTATTACCCTTAAAATTTTAAGCTATCAACATAAACGTTACGGTACAACTTTTTTTCAAAACTAATGATGATTTATTGAATTTATTAATGCTTCAGTCTGCAAATGTAACTGAATTCTTCTTTCCTTAAAATGCCATTCAAAATTTTTTTGTTTTAACTTTAATTAGTGAGATAGCGCTTTTCAAAAAGGAAGTGGAAGCTTTGAAGTTGGGATAATGTTAACAGTCTCAGCCCTCCTCAACAATAAGGTTTTGTAAATTTTGGTAAAGAAACGTTTTTTTTTAAATAGGAAAATTGTGGAAAAAATGTGAAAGAAACAGAAAATGAAAAGTCTCAAAGTGAAGATTTAGTACTCTCTCAAAAATGTTTAGTTGCGCTCATGTAGAGAGAGTATCAGGTTGCTAAATAAAAAGTATTACATTGTAAATTATTTGAATATGTACATATTTCTCCGATTGAAATTAAATTATAGTAAATTATTCTATAAAGTCGTATAACTTTTAAATATAATTTGTAACATTGTTTGAAATGGAATCCACACGTTGTAATTAAACTTTTGTTAACTATATTGTCGTTGCTATTTTAACAAAATCTACGTTTGTAAAACTGAAATGAAAAGACTTAAAAAAATAGGAAAAATACTTTAAAAAGCATAATGACGATGCGTTATGTTTAAATACTTTCACGCTCAGCACAATTTGTATGTTGTTTAAAATTGTTTTATTTATAGAAATGTACTGCAATGCTGATTGGTTTTTTCAATTATTTTGATTTAACTGCAAGATGGTTAGCATGGAATGTTTTTTAACTCTTCTCAGTGTTGTAATTGAATTTTTCAATCAGTGTTTTTATGAACTTCTGTTTAAATTTCTTGCATTGTTGTTACAATATTATTTGTCAGTTGATGTATAATTACATTTAATAACTATAAAAAATCTGTATATCAATGATGATGGTTTTGGCTGGTGATGCCGTTGAACGATGATGTTGGATGATGATGCTGGCTGATGATAATGATGTTGGGTGATGATGATGATGTTGAAAGCTGATGAAGATATCGGGTGCTGTATTCAACATTAGTGTATCGCAAGCGAGTTAATGTTTCACTTCCTGTCTTCCTGTGAGTTCTAGTTGCATAGCACTTCAAATGAGTTTGCGTGATCTTATCTGATCTAATGGTCCAATTTCATAAATTTCGAAAAGAATGTTTACGAACACATTAACTATTTTTGCTGAAAATTTTTAAATGAATTAATCATCATTTGTTGTTGCTTTTTTAGTTTTTTATTATTTTATTTATTACGTTATAGTTTGAAATTTTACATTTTTTACAAACTTTTAAACATTTTATTAGAGAATTTAGCAAAAATATTAGGATTTAACAGAATTTATTAAAAGTTATTAGAAATAATAAAATTTAACGTAATTATTTTTAAAAATGTGCTCTCATCTGTTTATGTTTGCATCCTCATTTATTTCGAAAAAACGATCTGTGAAACTCAGGCTTACAAAAATGTTCTTCTCGGGACAAAACATTGATGTCGAAAATATGGCTCACGGCAGTCATCGCGAAAATAGTATTTGATTTTCCTGTTAGTAATCATTTTTTACATGAAAATTGATATAAATCCGGAACTTTAGTAGCGCCTGAAAATGTAAGCAGTTCAATTGGCAGCTAGTGGCAATAGCACTCTTCCTCGTGCTCTTGACTTTTCCTCTGCTTTTGATACTTTGATTATACGATTCTCTTGATGCTGTTACATCTTTCTTTTAATACTACTGATTCTTGTATATTTTGGTTTTCTTCTTATCTCTGTAATCGTTTTTTTCTGTTGTTCTCAATAATTCTACTTCTAACTCCTTTACTCTCACTTTAGGGGTACCTCAGGATTCTATCCTTGGCCCTCTTCTATTTATACTCTATACCTCTGAACTACTTCGTATTATTAATAACTTTTCTTTCTCTAGTCATCTATATGCTAATGATTCTTATGTTTATACTTCTTTTCCTCCATCTAATCTCAATAGTGTTCTTTATAATCTATCTCTATGTCTTTCTTCAATTATTGCTTGGTCTGACTCCATCTGGTTATCCATTAACAAAATAATCATAAATTATTCGAAATGTGCATACATTACTTTTGGCCCAAAAATACTCACCAACCAAGCTCCTAACCTAAACCTATTAATTAATGACGTTCCTATAAACCGCACCCTGTCAACCAAATTCCTTGGAATCACCATCACAGAAAATCTCTCACGGTATTCTCACCTACAAACTACCTCAGACAAAATCAACAAACTCATAGGCATCTTTTACAAAATCAAATAAAAACTCTCTCTTTCTGCTCTACACACGCTTTATTACACATTCATCTACCCTTATCTAACCTACTGCATCACACTATGGGGAAATAGTCCAAAAGACAACCTGAATAATTTAATACTCTTCCAAAAAAGATCATACGTTTAATTTTTAACCTCAAACCCGATTTTCATACTAAACCCTTCTTCCTAGCAAAAAAATTTTACCACTTAACTTCATCTATCTTTACTACTCTGCTTTATTCGTTTTTAAATTTATCAACAATCTTCTCCCACCTCACTTTATCAACTTCTACACATTAAGTAACTCACTAGACACCCCTCTCTTCTATATCTACAAAACTCGCCTCAAATTAATCCAGACAAGCATAAAAATAACTGGTCCTAAAATTTGGAAAGAACTTGTACCTCCCCATTTAAGAGCCATCATAAACTTACAACATTTCAAGTCAAAATTCGGTGCTTTTTTTATTGACACTGGATCTCGACTCCACCACCTAATACTATGATAAGAATACGTTAGAACAAATGATGCGGATGAATGATCTTTATGAATGGTTAAATATTTGAGTGTTTATATATGTACTGAACGAACATTTACATATTTATATGTCTATATATGTATGACACGAACATTTACTTATTTATCTTCTATTATCTTTTTGCCTCAGTTATTTTCCTTATTTAATTTCATTAACTATTCATATATCTACCTGCGGTGGCCTCCACAAGACATACAATCTTATTCGGTCTCCGCATATTCAACTTCATAACTTTTATTCACTTATTTGATATGTTGTTGATTATGAATAAACTTTGAAAATGAAAAATATATATATATATGAAATAAAAAATATATATATATAAAATGAAATGAAATATATAATTACATCTTCAGTGCATTATATATACGTCCTGGGCATGACATAAAACTGCATCCACGCTGTCTTGCGTGCTTTTGAGCAAAAGGCTAGGCTCTTCGCTTATAACTGGTGATTGTCGTCAGGAT